ATAGAATTTAGGTGGGCGGGGGGCAGACACAGTCTCTATGGGGTACTAGGAGTGTTGGGTGGGTAGCAGCTGCAGAGAGACAGCAGAGAGGCGTGTAAGACTGTGACCCTGCATCCTGGACTCAACTCTGGGTTGTCATAATTTAGGTTGTAAAACAAACTCGTCCAGATTTCTAGATAAGAGAGCCGCACCACCCAAAGTGGGATGGATGCCATCTCTACTAATCAGACCAGGTTTTCCCCAAAATGTTTTCCAGTTGTCTATGAAGCCCACGTTATTTTCCAGGCACCACCTAGACAGCCAGCGGTTGAATGACGACATGTGGCTAAACATGTCATCACTGGTCACATTGGGTAGGTGTTCAGAGAAAAGTACGGAGTCCGACATTGTTTTAGCGAAGTTACACACCGACTCAACATTAATTTTAGTGACCTCCAAATGGCAAAGCTGGGAGTCATTAAGGATATTGGCCAGGTACACACAAAGAATTTGTTTCCGGTACAGAATCAAGGCAGCCATCTAACCATCGGGGGGTTCACTGTCTTGCCCAAGGACACTTCGACATGTGGATTGCAAGCACTGAGATTTGAACCTTCAACCTTTCGGTTGGAGACGACTGCTCTACCCACCACACCGCTGTCGCTTCCATTAGCACCAATTTGAATAACAACCTTACTGTATTTACGCTTATCCTTAGCAGCTTCAGATAGGATTCAGTGTCGCCCGCTCTGGCCCAGGAATACATCTGACTATGGCCGCTGTTGACACTCTGAACAAAAGAAGGAAAGAGAGGAAGAGAGGGAAGCCATCGATGTCAACTAAGCTACTAGCTTAGCTAGCTTCTAAGCTAGCTGTCCTAAATTACCAAGTAAAAATTTGTAAATTAACAAGAACTTCTGCAATACAGGTGCTTAAGTAGTGCAGGCATATGTTGTGACTCCAAAAATTAACTGATGCTCAGATAAACCTAGAAAATAGTGAGCTTAAACCATAAACAATCTGGTAGCAAGCACAACATGTTGCAGACACAGGAACCAGGAAGTGAATATGATTACCGCAGGAACAGGAAACAGCAGGTCAAAATCCCAAGTAAAATGAATCTACATGTCAGGGGAATGGCAAATGTTATCACGTTACATTGTCTTCATTGTGTTTGTCTAGCATTTTTATTTTGAAAGATGTTTTCCTGCCCATGTCATTTCACCTGCCTCAGCTTTACTCCAGCCTTTAATTTACACCCCTTGCCTTCACCTGTTACTTATTGTCTCCTTTACTTATTGTCTCCTAGTCTCATCCAATATATTTCCACTCAGTTAGTTGCTGGTTCATGTGTGCACCCTGCCCTGCTTTGCTCATGCTGTTCGTGCCTCATTGTGATTATCTTCAGTTTAGTTAGCCTCTAAGTTTTTAAGTTTGCCCCCCCCTCCTGTTCCTTGTTTATGGACTTTGAATTTGGACTTTGTTACTACCAGTGCTGTTGAGTTAATTTTTTTTTTTTTTAGATGTTGTGTTTCTTTTGGTCAGGTAGAGCTCTTGAGTTTTTTGTTTTGTTGTTGTTTTATGTTATTTATATTAAATCTTACTAACTGAATATTAGTTCTTCCCTCCCCTACACCTGAACCTGACGGCATTAGGATCTTTAACACCAAAAACTGCTGTTAACAGGTCTAAATCAACATGCCAGTTTAATACCCTAAATTAGGTTTGAAAATTATTTCTCCAGTAACTCCACAGACTACTCTAGGATCAGTCTACTCTGAATAAACAGTCTACCTGTTTATTATGCAACAGCAATGTCCATTTATTAACTAGGGCTGCCTGCTGTAACTCCAGCAAGCTTTTCTTCTGTAGTAAAATGAATGTTGTCTGTTTAGTCAGAATTAAGTTCACCACACCAGAATGAAACTTTTGCATCAGTTTAATCATTTAAAAACAATAACGGTATAAAGCATAGTTTATACTTGCCAATGCGCATGACAGCATGCTGCAAATATGATGCTACAATGGCTGGTGCATGGTGCACATTAGTGTTATTTCAGCTGGTCATGCATCTGCCAATTATAAAATATAAAAAATGGATGGACACATTCATACACAAAGGCAATTCAAAGTGCTTAACACAACGCACACAGTGCAAATGCACACAAATACATAAAACATTAAAGTGCAGTCATAGATAAAACAATAGAATACAAATTAAATTAAAAAATTAAAAGCAACAATTACATGACAGCACAAAGTACAAATTAGCAACATGCAAATACGTAGTACTTTTAGGGTAGCTGTGGCAGACTGGATTCTGTTTTCAATCACTTTGTACCCAGTCTTCCCAAGACTAACCTCTGATTTATGCCAGAGGAAAGTGTACTTCTGGAAAATTTGAGACATCGGTGTCTATTCAGTCAGCTAAACCATTATATAACAACTGTGGCAATAAGTACTGCCATCATTACTCTAAACTGAGCGCACGTTAATAAGTATGGGGAACACTACAGATGGCAATTTTGAATCTTCAAAATAGCTTTGAAATATGTGAAACAACCAGTTTTGAAATGAGCATTTTGTTTGCTGTCTGTTATCCATGTGCCAGGCAGTATCAAAAAATATTTTTTTAGGTTTTATGTACAATCTGTGACAATGATTATAACTTAAAAGGCATAAAATTAAGATTTTCAACTAGTTATATATATATATATTTGTTGCATAATTTGGTTAAGAGCCTTGAAACCTCCATACATTCTTCTGTAGTTACTGCTGCCTTTGTAAGACAGAGTTATAAACACATGTCAAGGATTTCTAGTGACTGAGCTAAACCATGGAAAACACTGGTTCCCTAAACTACCACTAATAATAAGGTGCTGGATGCAAGGGGAAAAAACTGCAGTGAAAAAGTTGAAAGCATCTGCACACATCTCCTTTGGCAAGGTGAACAGTGGTCAAAAATCATTAGATGCTTCGGTTTTGAACCAAGGGCCCTGCACTGGATTGGGAGAGTAAGCGGAGACTAAAGAGGTTTTTCCACTATAGTAACCTATAGTGCCAATACGAGTAACACTTGTCACGGGTTATGTGTTTGCTGCCAGTGCCCTCTGCCCACTGTCTAGGTGTGTTCCAGGAGCTACATTTCAGCACCCCTCAGAAGGTAGTACTAAAATCAAGTTCCAGGAACAGGAAGGAGGAGGGGTGGTTGCACACAGAGCAGTCACCTGTGATTGTTGGTATCGTCACACCTCAAGTGTTAGCATTACAAGCATGGTGTGTAAACATACTCACTCTTTTACAGGTAAAAGCAGGACTTTACTTGTTGGTTTAGAGGTAAAACAGGGATTTCAGTGAGTGGATAAAGTGGACAAAGCGATGAAGGCGTCACATTTCTGCAAGTCTGTGTGCATATGCAGCTGTTTGATAAATCCGTACACCCTGTTACTGGCTGACTGTTGCACTGTGAAGTGATACTTCACATCCTCTGCTCTCTCTCTGCTCAGTTGACTGTGTGTGTGTGAGAGGAGCACAGCCCCTCTCTCCTCTAAACAGATCCCAACAACGCAGCTTAAATGTCCAACAATTCCCTCCCACCCACCTCTCTCCTCTCTTAAGCTTGATAAGGGCAGCTCTCTCATTCACAGTCCAGTTCATTCACTGAAGCTTCTTTTTCTATCCGTGTAGGCAACTACTACAGTATATGTCAAATGGAGCTACTGGCTGTTCCTGCAAACAGGTGTAAAGGATGGTATCTTTCTCTGATGGCCCCCAACACAAAAGGACAAGCATTTGCCTGGCTGGACCCATCGAGACTCTACTGCAACTCCCTGGTACTGTATGATGACAAAAAAAAGCACTATTTCTAGTTACTCTGCAGGCCATATATACCATTTCTGCTGTCTTCCCTCTCACCAGAGTATATTGCACTTGTTGTGTGTGGTTATCATTGCCTCTCTTTGTACTTGATTTAGGCTCTTGCAGATTGTGTTAAAGACCTTGTCAGTCCATTCCAGAATGACACCATTGACCTGGTTGCTGGGATAGATGCCATGGGATTCATTCTTGGTAAATAAACATTAATTTGAGGACACAGAGTAAGTAATAGGATAGGAGAAATCACACTTGTTCAATAGGCCAGGAAACCTAACACCTGTAGCAAATATACTAAATTTAGATATTTTGGCTCCTTTAAACCCTGCCTCGTGGTCACTGCCTAGTGACATAACGATGCCTGAAATCATTCTTGCTGCAGTTCCAAGACAGTGCTTTGTCAGTGTGACTGATTGTTTTTTGTCTTTCAGGTGCATCTGTTGCCAACACTCTTGGAAAAGGTTTCCTGGCTATCCGGAAAGCAGGACACCTGTGTGTCTCAACCCAACACCAAAACTATATAGACTACACAGGCAAAAAGAAGACTATGGAAATAAGATTGGATGTACTAAAACCAGGTCAAATTTCATTGCTTTTACTCTTTAACTACATACTTCCATTGAGAGGATGAATGTTTACCCAACTACTAATGTTTAGACACCTCAGGTTTGAGGAAGCTGTTATGGAAAGGCAAAGAGAGTTGTTTTAGTGTGCACAGAAAAAAGCTTCAATGCACAGATGTATTTATATAAAAATGGAAATAATAAAAAGAGCTTAACATATAAACTGAGGATTTGAATAATAAGCCAGTTAGGGCTGCCAGCATTATCACTTAATCTCTTGGTCATTTCCTCCGTTAGAAATGTTCGAAAATATTAAGGAAATGTCAAGAATGTTCCGCAGCACAAGGTGGAGTGAAGATATTCACGTTTACTTTCATATACTATATGACACAAAAGCAGGACATCATCAGATCTGAGAAGTTCCTACCAGAAAAAGATTTGGTACTTTTGGTTAAAACATTACTAAAACATTTAAATAGTTGCTGAATAACTTTTCTGAAAACCAGTAAGTTACCGGACTGTTATTTTTAGCTCAAAAATCAACCTCATCTTCTGAATCACATCCAAATTATTCAACTATATGCCCATTTATTGCCTGTGACACAGCGCTCCCTAGTGTTGGTTGAAGCAAATTACATCTGAATTTGCTTATTACGAAATCTATTTCATCTTGCCTGTGGTGAATTAAAGATCCTGTTTAAGTTGCTCTAAGATTAAGCTGTTGAGTAGCATCATTTCGAGGCGACTTTCTTTTAACCTTCTGTTATTGTTGCATATGATTTTGAGCAACAACAGCTTGAAAACCAGAACCAGCACATATGCCCATGTGCTGTCACTCATAATAAGGGATTGAGTTTTTTCTATGGTGTCTTATTTTGGTTTCCGTAGTTGGCTTGGAGCTAACGTCATGTTATTGTGTTGTTAACTAGGCTAAACGCACGGTTATATATTTCGAATATTAACCAACTCCATTTTTGTGTATTTTGTGCTGCAGTTTCACAGTGTTTTCTTCAATAAAAGTCCTAAACCAAAGAAGATTGACCAGGTTTTTGCTGAAGGGACCTGTTAGCTATCTGGCAAGCTAAAAGCAGTTACCCAAGTTAGCGAGGCCAGAATAGCCCAGATTTTGAGTGTGGTGACTTGTTATACACTAAAAACCATTCTGTGAGAGGTCGGGGCAAAGTCCAAGATTTTGGGGATTCTACACCCTATTTATTAGATAGTGCATGAGGAGTGGTGCACCTGTTGGTCAATGTGGGCCAGTCTGACAGCTGCATAGAACTGAACCTAAAAGTGGTCCAGGGGACAGAGAAAGTAGGATTTGGATAGCAGAGACTGACTGGCAAGTTGCAGAGAAGGATGATTCACTAGGGGAAGTGTTGAGAATGGGTAATGAGCCAATAATATAGATGAGCTAGCAACAGTGTGAATGTTAGCCCTCTTTAGTTCATCCTATATCTCACTGTCATCTTTCAAACTGTCTTAGAAGACAGACTTTTTTCATAGCCGTGGCAGTGTAGGATATGATGTCCTCAGGTCCAGTGGTGCCTGCAGCCTAATCCTATATGCCCCATGCGGACACTGTTAAGTATGATTTACATCACTGACGTATGGCTGTCACTGCACAATGAACATATAGTATACAGTATATAAAATATAGAAATATATTTTCTGTACTGTACTTAAGCATAATGAGGAGCTTGTACGTTTAGAGTAGGCCTGTTTCCATTTGGACATGCTACACTTCCTGTCCACTTCAGTTCAGAGAGCAGGTTTGGACATTCCGGTCTCAATTTCAGATGGTTAAACATCAAGACAGTAATTCACATCAAAAGACTTGGAGAAAAGTATGAAAATTAATCAGCTGTTGTGCATCAGAACTGTTTTTTTTTTTTATCTCTATCCTTCGAATGTTCCCGCAACTCCTCTGATTTATCTGGTGACCTTTACAAGGGGCCCAACCCCTGATGAGGAGCCACCAGACTAACTGTAGCCTAGTATATTAAGTAGTTAAAACTAGCTCAACCTTGAACAGTTTCAACTGTAAAATGCTGCTGAAGTATTGACGCATCAGTATTGACAAGTTAATTTTGCTGCAGAGTACTTTGCAGATACTTTAAGTGGGATTTTGAATGAAGGATTTTTACTTAAAGGATCTGAGCACTTCTTCCATCTTTTATGTAACCATGCATTACTTGTGATGTTGGTTTGTATTTTGCACTACATATAGTATAACAAACTGCTCTATTTTTTGATAAAATACATAACTTTTTACTTTTATTTAACCTTTTCTAAATTCAGTTTATAATAATTTGTTTGGTACCATTTTCTTGGAATACTTGGCTTTGTTTATCATGTGAACACTTACATAAAAAGACCCAGTAGATACAAGTATGTCTCTCCTTCTTGCAGGCATGAGGGTGCTGTTAGTCGACCAATGGATAGAGACTGGAGGCACCATGAAGGCTGCAATCCAGCTGGTAGAGAGGCAGGGAGCCACTGTTGTAGGTCAGTCAGTGTCTCTATTTGTATGCCACACCCAAATGACAATAAACGCTTGAACATAAATCTCTGACTCCATCTCCTGCAGGTGTGGCAACAGTGGCCATCCAGAACACTGAGGGGGGAAAGTGGATTAAAGAGAACTACAAGTTCTCTCACTGCATCCCTGAAGAGCTGCAGAGGCAGATCGATGACAGATACCTGACTTCTTTCCAAGCCTTCAACAACTGTACACTTAATTTCTTTGTTTAGTGATGAAGAAAAGGAGAACAATGATGATGGTAAGACTGATTTGGTCAGGAAATAGTTTGCTCTGCATACAGATGTGCTTTTTTAAAGAGTGAAACTGCACTTTCATGTGATTTTTCCCTTTTTACATAAAAGCTTAACTAACTGTTCCTTCAGAATGTTATTTTCAAAACACTATCTTTATTGATAGCTTTATGACATAGAACACAGACTGAAAAGAAGACTATAAATGATCAAACATGAATGCAAACTATTCTAGTTTTAATGAAAATCCATATTCAATTATTTGACTGTAAAGCAAAATGTGCCTATGAAGCAAATACTGTAAATAAAAATGCATCTACATTTAAACATTGGGGGTCAGGATGGCCACAGGTGGTCAAAATGAAATCTAATGGGTCTGATGAAATGCTTAAGAGGAATGAAAAGAAGAATTGAGTTTGTTTGTGATTTGCTGTATAATATTGCTTCCTTGAGCTTATAGAAATATTGAAATAAAACCAGGCAGAACATGATCACATTTTGTGAGACTGGTCATTGCTGGGAGACATATGGGGTTAAAAGTACATACTGGTTTGTTTAAAGGGGTCACTAGCCAAAAAGGTTGGGAGCTACAGCTTTTAAAATATCAAATATTATGAAAAAAGGCAAAGTACCATGTTAAACAGCCATTTAAAACAAAAGAATTGAAGATACACCAGAGCATTATTGTAAAACAAACTACAGCAGCAGAATGGTAGAGTTAATTCGAGGCCTATAAGTGAAGTAAGCATCCACACATACTGTACAGAGTGAAAAATATCCACAGTCATTCTTTGGCATCTCAGCAGAACCAGGACAGTCAGTGTTGTGTAATTGCTGCGCCACTCAAACTCCAAACAAGTTCAGCTGAGCAACACCACAAGAATTCACATCCCAACTGATCCCAGCCCAGGAAAAACTGAACTCAAGCATGTCAGCAGTGAGAGTCCAGCATCCCTCCTCCAGCTGTGACCACAGAGCTCCCTCCCATGAGCTGGAAAGTAGCCACAGTCATTTTTCACTGAGAAAACAACTCATTTTCAGTCTGTACCTTTGACTTCCAACTCCTGCTTCCCTCCTTACTGACAGCACTTTGGCTGTTTCTTCTTCAGTGTAGCGTTGTTTGAAGCACTGTTAATTCCTGAAACAGATGAACAGCTGGGTGTTATGTGACAAATATTATGGCTTCAATAATTTCTGAGATTTTGTTTGAACACTCACTGATGACATCTCCAATCTGCCTCGACCCACTCTTCTCCAGCTCAGCAAGAACGTTGGTCTCAAATGCCAACGATGCAACGCGGAAAAAAAACTCCTTTACATTTTCTCCTGCGGTATGGAGGAAACACGGGTCAGCGTCAAAATTATTGGGGCGGCAGAGGAGGCTGAAAGTTATGTTCCCTCCCCCAGAGTTGTTATTTACTGTTTGCAAGTCCAAACCCTCACCTGTCAGCGATGAAACAGCCCAGTACTCTGCTCTCATCTCTTGTGCTAGTTTGAGGGCATCTTCTTCAATCCTAGAGTACTGAGCTGGAGACTGTTAGAGAAACCAAAACAAGGTGATCTCTTCTCAAATAGACAAACACAAAAGAAATCTTTACAATGGGGCTGCAAAAACCTTTTAAAAATCAGTTAATGTGATAATTATTTTCTTACTTGACTGATAAACCTTTGGTCTATAAAATGGCAGAGAACAGTAAAATGCCAATGACAGTGTCCTACAGTCCAGGTCAAGGCCTTCAGATTGTTTGTCCTATTCAACCAATAGGTTGTTTTTGTTTGTTTGTTTGCTTGTTTTCTTACAGTATATTGACAAAGAAAAATAACTAAATCTCACCATAAGGAAGATGGAAACTTTGGAATGAGAAGAAAGTTTGGGGTGTTTTAGCTTAAAAAATGAATGAATGACTCATTTACATAGCTGGAAGTGGATTTTTTGTTATTCAGAGGTAGAAAGAGTACTGTATTCCACTGAAAAAGAAGTCCTCCACAAATATTAATGTAATAAATGACTTCTCCCAGTTGTCTAACTGATCCTTTGATGAATGAATGCAATGAGCCACAGCAAAGAAATGAACAAAGCCAAGTAGTCCAAAACTAAACATTCAGTCTCATCATATTCATACCTCTGCGCTAAATTCACAGGATAGAAATAAGCACGAGACTTTTCCTGAAAAGCTCAACTGTGTTTAAACAAAAATCACAATAAAGTAAAAAAGAAAAGTAGAAAGTGGCCCAATTATCTACAATGAACAGGTATGTTTCTCACTTCCCACCACTGCTTAAATAAATCAGTAACCGTTCCAATCTCTGTCAGAAATGCTTTGTGAAGGAGAAGAGACCACATTCCAGAGGCGTTACACATATGCTTTGAGCTTTGAGCCTCTGGCTTTATGCTGAACCCATTCATATTTAACTCCAGTCATGACACAGGCACGTCTGCCTCAAACAGTAAAAGACATACACTCAGATCTTTCTTTGTGCCAACGAGGAACAGCTGAACCCTGGTGGGGTCATTCTCTTTCAAGGCATCTTCAAGCCACTGCCTGCAGACAGAAAGACAGCTCTAAATCCACTGGCTGGGACAAACAAACCACTGTAAGAGCATGAACGGTCCACTTACCTTACATGTCCCAGAGAAGCAACATCATTTACATCAAAGACGATAATCACAACTGGAAGAAAAGAAAATATTACGCCAGTGAAAAACCATTCTAACCATTTTAGGAGTGTTGTTTTAGCAGATTTAGCAAACTAATTTTTCTCCCTTGACAATTTGTTCTTTGTTAGTGTGTACATGGAAACAGGAGAGTCTTCAGTACATGTCTTATTAGTTTACTGCTCTAAAAATGCACAAATCTCTCACCCTGGGCTCCTCTGTAGTATGTGGAAGCAATGCACTTAAACCTCTCTTGACCTGCAGTGTCCCACCTGTAGCACAAAGAGTGAGTGCTGAGTGACAGTATCTCCAGCTCAGTTTATGGTCTTTGATGTGTAAAAGTGAAATGAACTTACAGCTGTAAGCTGAAAGGAACACCCATCACCTCAAACCGCTCCATCTCAAAGTCAACACCAATTGTCGCCTTGTAGTTCTTATCAAACACATCCTTGCAAAATCTAAAACAACAACAAATAGCACCTTAAGGAATTTGATATAATACAGTAAGAATACACCGATCACCATTTCTTAAAGCAGATCTTAAGACCACGTTAACGTCAACTGTCTGGAGTTGGAGCTGAAAACATTTTAAATAACCTCACATAGTGTATTCTACTGTCTGTAAGCTGTATTATACGGTATATTAAAGACACACATCACAAAGAAATGTTTTACTCTCAGAACTGTCAAATATGAAAATGAAGCATAACATGTAGAAGAGGCTACAGCTTTCAGCATGCTGCTGCTCGCCACACATCACACGTGCAGCAAACAACATACACACCATGAATAAACAGAGCAGATATGGAAGAGGAGGCAGAGGAGGAGGATGTCCGAATCCAGGAGTTCAATTCTAGGCATCAAGTGTTGAATTCATTTGTGTCTGTGTGTTAGTAATTTTGCTTGACATGAGGTTGAGATTGCACCATCTATGTACATACAGTACGTTGCAAGCAAGAGCAGGTGGTCATATGCAACTGGTCATATGCCAGGAACAGCTGGAACATTTGAGACTCCTGTATAAATTAAGTTAAGCAAATTGCCTGAACTGGAAAAATTTCATGTCCTGAGTCGTCTTCAATCAGCCAAATAAAAAGTCATCAAATTCCTTTCGTTTAGCATTTTCTCATTTAAATGTTAGCACCCATTTTACATCAACATCAATGTTCAGAATAAATGTATAAACTTTAAAATGCACAAAACAGTAACGGCTTGTAGTAAAAACCCTGTCGTTTTGCTTTGGGAGGCGCCTCTTCATCTGCAGCCATTTCTCAGGGTGTCTTCAGCAACAACGCTGCAAACACCTCATGAACTTAAGAAGGCTCAAAAGACAGATTTCAATGGGGGGTCCATGGGTGAATGTGAATTGTTTTTTAAAGGGTCGGTTCACCCAAATGACAAAGAACATAGCCTACCTTTACAGACTACATTCATTATTGCAGTGTAGCTACAGTAAAAGCTGCCGACTGCATGTTCTGTCGGTTATACAGAGTAACTTTGACACTGTTCCCTTTTAAAATGCTTCAAATGGTCTTGAATGCTTTGAGCACCATCGACATTTTATTTACTACCAGCGTACTAGAATGGATGCAGACATTTTAGAGATTCATATGTTACAATCTGGACAAATCAAAACCTTGTTTCGTTTTGATTTTGGGTGAACTGTGCTCCCATGTATGAGGTTCATGTCCTCTGAGTTGCTACTTAAGTTATTTATTTCCTAGAAGTGTAATTCAGCCTGCATTTTGTTTGATCTTACCGGTTAATCAGACAGGTTTTCCCCACGGCCAGATCACCAACAACAATGACCTTTGAGATTTTAAATCTGCTGAAAAGAATAAAAGAAGAAGCAACAAATAAATCAGTGACACAAAACACCATGTAAAGCCATGAATAGCGGTTTGTGCACGTACCCCACAGTGCCAGTACGCTGCTGCTGGCAGGCAGTCTTCACTTTTTTGTTGAAGTCGTCTTCAGTGTTGAGAGCTGCCTCTTTCCTGAAACACTGCAGAAGACAAAAGCCCCTTTTACACAGAGATTTTGATCCTCCTTCAAGGCTATTTTTTGATTTAAGCCTTTTTACACTGAACTTTAAACAGCCGGCATTTTACACAGCTGCCAGAACCCTGGTACTAGAGGCAGGATGCTTATCATGACATTCGACTGCCCATGCACCTCGTGGCCAATTTGAAAATGTAACAAGCAGGCTGTTATCTAATTTTGTTTGATATAGCCTAATTAGGCTGCAAACAGAAATAGGGAATTACAGTAGCCTACTATATACATCCAGTTTCAGGGCAGGGCTACACACACACAAGGTGCACCTCGACTCAGAACTGATGGAAGCATGCATTTTGGCTGCATTCATACAAAATCCTTCCCACGGTGTTCATGCTTTAGAAGGTAACCACAGTGAGTGCATTCAGTCTGCACTCAGTCTGAATGCCCATCTACACAGAGAGGTGAGGAGGAAAACCAGCGAAAAACTACTGCTAAAGAAGACTTTGTGAGGCTGTTTTACAGATGTGGTGGACATCCCGGCTTAAATAGCGAATTACCTGAGGGAGCTGAGCAATGATTCTGTCCCTTCGTACAGGAGGAAGAACACTCATGGCTGAAACTCGCACAGACATGAAGCCGTCAGGTAAATGACCTGGACACACACACATATACAGAGAAGAGCTTTGTGACTTTCTTCATAATCTCTAGGCTGCAGTGAATGGTGAGTAAGGCCCAGTCACCAGGGCTGCTGCTTACTACATCAAAGATAAATACAAATGAAGAAGATCAGCATTTCTTGTTACAGTTTTGATCATCATTTCATTTTTCAGGCACTTTTTTACATATGAAAAAGATAAATAAAAGCCAAAAATTCTCTCAGTCCAGCTTCTCAAATAGGAAGATTTGCTGCTTTCATTGTTTTATATCTCTGTGAATTGAACCTTGCTAGATTTTGGTTGAGAAAAAAGGACTAAAATTAATTATTATTTTAACAACACTGGTCAGTTGGTTTTCATTTGATTGATTATTCATCTGCTGTATTAAATGTTCAAAAATGGTAAAAATGGCCACAGAAAAAGTTAGATAGTATCTTCAACATCAAAACCCAAAGTACAGTACAAAACCCAATGTTGTCATTAAATATCCAGTGACAGGAAAAAGCCAGGAAGCAGAAAATCTTCACATGTTGAGAATGTTTAATGACTTCTAATTTTGGTCAGATGTTCAAATTAGTATCAGAATTGTGAGTTATCTTTCTGATGACTGATTAATCTATCAGTCAGTCAATTAATGGGTTTCTCCCTAAATGAGTCACTGAACAGCTCCAGTAGAGTTATAGAGATGTCAGTTACAAGTCTGTAGCTGTCTTTGCTATGCTTGGACAAACATTGCAAAGACAACCTCTCCATTGGATCTACCACTAATCTGGATCCATGTAAAAGGATATATTCCCGATCTGGTAGTTTTGTGACACTTATGAATTTTAAACATTCTGAATCAAAAGATCTGGAATAGATTGGTGTGTGCTAGTTCGTATGGGGGTGTTGCTTTGCAATTTTTGTTGAAGTGTGGTAAGTTAAAAGCAGAACTTGGTATTAATTTGGCCCTATTTCACGCGAAGGATCCTTTAGAAGGTGATCCGGATCCAATGGATGTGGTCTGGGCCATAAGAGCCACGCACATCAGAGCCAGACCCAAGTGAAACAACACTGGGCTACAGTGTTTGTTGTCCAGTGTGTAGCAACATGTCCAGAAAGCTGTAATCAATGCTGATCCACTTCCTCCGTGGATCCGTTTTAATCCTATTGTTCATCAGGGCTCCCAGTGAAGGACGAGTCTCATTTACTAGATTTGGTTCAGGCGACCAAAACCCAAACCAGGAGACTTTAAAACACGTTTTTACATGCGATCTGCTGCTACAGTATTTTCCCCTCGCAATAAAGAAAAGCCGATACGAGTTATAAACACATGGACCAAACAAAAGTCTGTGGAAGTGTTACCTCGGCGAGACAGGATGGTCCGCTCACGGCTTCCCCCTCTTGTGCTTGTGGCGTGCGGCTTCACTCCCACAGATGCTTCTTACCGTTACGTAATCCCATCCAAGTTTATTGTTAGGTATTAACCTGTTGGGATTCTAGTGAACAGATCTGGAATCGATCCGAAGCTGAGATGGGGACACCAGACCAGAGCTGCTGGCTTAACTGCAAACTCAGCTCCCTGGATGTTTTGTCTTTCCTCCCCGATTTTCCCTGCTCGGTCCCCTGCTGGAGGAAATGAGGAAGTATCGGAAATCAGTAAAAAGTGTCGGTCTCAAACTTTTATTGTTTCATTTTGCTTTTCTTCTTTTATTTATACAGGCCTATAAAATGCATATTTACACTTATTAATGAGCTATTTAGTAACTCTTTACATTGCAAATATTACACACCTAACCTACATACAACTATTTTCAATATATTATTTTATTGTTTTTTATTTATTATTATAATATACACTATATCCATAATATATTCAACACTATACTATACTACAGTAGGACTATTTTATGTCAATATACACTGTTTATTACATTACAAATGATATGAAATTTCTAATAGACAAATAGTAAACACCATAGTGTTACTTAATCATATACTGTATGCTATTTGTCTGGTGCATGCTGGTGTACTCAGTGGTATCATATTAGTCCTTCGAGTCTGTTTTTCTATACTTATCTCATTATACAGTTTTCAATGTCCTTTGCTTTGCTTGTAAAGCGAAAATAGTAAAGGTAAGCTTTAAAAAAAGAGCATGTTTTGGTCAATATCACCAGTGACCTCTGCAAAAATACTATAGATCTTTCTTTCTTCCACATACCCTCACAAATTCTATATAGGATGCAAGCAGCCATGTTGTCATATTTGTCTGTATTTCCTTGTTTACTAAATAAATAAATAAAACAGTTTAAGCTTTTTGTTTCTCGTCCTTCAGGTAGACACATATGCTGATTAAAGAGGGTGCCATACATCTGGTCTGAGTAAACTCTGTGTAGTACAAAATAGTGTAATAGAATAAAATGTTAACATCCAATACAAAATACTAAATGTGTTAAGTATATACAAAATTAAACAAAAGTAAAAATAGCAGCAACACAATAATATTGATATATATGTGTAACAATATATAGATATCAGTGTAAGCAGGGATGGAAACAACCATTTCCATTGACTGAAGTACTGGATTTAAGTACAGATTTCTGTTATTGTGTATTTTATGATACTTAACACCATCTCTGAAGGAAACATTGTATACAGTCAGGTTCACATTTTTTTCAAGTCTACCTTTTAACAGTAACACTAACTCACACTTTATTAGGTACATCTTTACAAATGTAATGCAATCCACACAGCTGTGTGAATGTAGTGGTACAACACCACCACTGCCATGTACACCTTGTTGGCAGTATCAAAAGAACTGAAAGGGTCATAAAAGTAGACATAATAGCAGAACAGCCATATCTGTTTTAATTATCTACAGGTGTACCTAATAAAGCGAACACTTAGTACGGTGCCTCATCAGGCTGGATTAGCTAAATTAACCGGGTGCCCTTCAAAGTCCATTTTTAGTATCAAATGCCCAGTGTGTTTTTTTGATGCTTAAGCATAATATTATCTTATAAAAACCAATTTGTACACTAAAATAAGATGGTAGATTTTATCCCCTACTTGAAAAACTCTGAATATATCCAAAACAAATGGTTTCCAACCCTTTTGGCTTTTGACTCCTCATAAAAAAGATATTTAATTGGGGGTCTTTTTCATGTTCCTCCCAAGAGACATTCTCCCTGTAAACCTCTCATTTGGTTTCATTTAAATAACAGTTTGATGCTCAAAAAATAAAATTATCCAATATTTCACAAAAAGTAGAGAAATGTCAAAAGAAAAGGAAAAAAGGACACAAATGTGTATTAGAATTTTGTTATTTTTTTCTTTCTTCTACCATTAATTATCTCATCATGCTTCAAATTTACCTTGTGACAACAGATTGGAAACCACTGGACTAATCCTAACTGTAAAGTAGCTAAAACAAGCTCTACCACAACCAACTACTTAGTAAAATCCAGTTTTAACTGCCTAATAATGCAATAACACTTTATATTAATCACAAAATGCATTTAATATTTTAAGCATATTTTGCTATTTTTTGGGTATGACTTTGAATGCAGGACTTGTATCTTTACATTGTTGCATTGGCACTTTGACTTAATGACTTGACAATACAGTATGTGGCTGTGAATGTGAGTGATTACATCAATGTATAACAGTAAATCAATACATTAAACCTCTCCTCATTAGTATAATACAGTTTTAGAAAATATACACCTCCACCCCTGTTTTTTTAAATACTTTTTTAATTTGTGGCATCACCCAATTCAATCCAAAATACAGGGCTCCTAAAAAAACAGTCATCACTTTAACAACATACATTATATATTGTTGTGGTCATGGTCAAATGAATCTATGGTATGTCTGTTTAAAAAATCTCTACTGGGCCCAGCTTATGCAAAGACATTTACAGCGATCATCACTATAGCTATACTTATTTATTTATCCATTATCTTTACCTCCATTTTTTTCTTTGTAAAAAGGCACTTAGGTAAAGGCACTGTAGCTCCAGACAGACACATCTCAACTCTATCCCTGTCTGTCTGGATTTTCTTGGCGTTGGCTGGAATAGAAATTGAAATGTACTGAACATTTTTCAATCATAATGTCAACACATGATTTATGGCATGATTAGGAAATTAGCATAGAAAGTCCACTAATGTTTAACTGTGTGTACTTGTATTATTCTTTGAAAATGAATACACAGGTGAAGGGAAAGGAAAAAGAGGAAACACATCTTCAATTAAAGGTTGTCATTCATATCTTAAAAAATGGGGTCTAGTCTATAAATGTATTATTACTTTGCTAACAAGCAAATAAGATACACACTGTGAGCATATTCTTCCATTACTCCACATCAGGTCTAACTACTTGTGATGCAGTATAAGTACTGATTGTGCAGCAGTCTGCTCATGGTGCCCACTTTCTGGTGAGCAAAATAATCAGACTGTTAGATGGCAGGAAGATCCAGCTTCAGCTCCACTTGTGTCAAATACAAACAGATTTAATATGAGAATTACATATAAGTACAATAATCTGTCCTGCAATGTTGTGTGCTACCAGTTCAATTGGTCCCTGTACAACATTATGTACCAGTGAAGTCACAGCATCCCTTCAGCCACAAATGGCTTCATACAGACAGATGCAGAGGACAAACTCTATATACACATATTAGTAAAATGTGAGTCTGTTGCTGCTAGAATTCAAAATCCAGTGTCAGAAAATCCCAGCTGGTGGGTCCTTCAAACATCCATGGAGAGAAAAATTAATGAGACTATAATGTCCCCTATATAAAAACACTGCTCACCCATGCAAATTGTAAGGATGACAACATATAGCTAGGTTGTTAGCTAACAGCAGTAGTGACTGCTATCTGCAGTTTCACACCGCAATTGTAGGCTATGTGTTGAACTATTTATCACAAATGCTTGATGCATTAAATAGTATTGACATTTTGGGAAATATACATGTGCTTTCTTGTCATACACGTGCTTTCTTTTCTGAAAGCTCCACTACATCCAAAACACTGAAATATAATAGCTACTGTATAGAAAATGTGAAGTTTTCATCACGCTGTGTTGAAGTTTGGGTTAATTTGAATTCTGAATTGAATTTTGGGAGCACCGTGCTTATTATCAATCATAGAAATATACACTACATACATCTATAAGTTTAAATTTAAATAAATAAATAGTATCCCATATAGTTACATACAGAAGCAGATGCTTCAACTATTTCCAAACGTCCACTTCAGTGTTCAGTTTCAGCAGACAGGACAGAAATTGATTCATCTGCGGTGTCTCTATTATGTGCTGACAGCTGCTAGCTAGCATTAGCTCCCAAACCAAGAGCTGAGATCAGTGTGCAGTCATGTTTCAGTCTGTCACTTTGGTCACTACTCTCCTCTACTCTAGGTCCGCTACGAGTTTGTTACAGTTAGCTTAGGTTATCCATTCTGAATTACCACAGTCAGTAAAGTGGGATTTAAATGATTTAAGCAACTTTTTAGCCAAACAAAATAAAAATGTATGCAGATAAATACTGTCTAAATGGTGCCCCCATCCCAACATTCAGCCCAGCGTGACATACTGTACATCCACATTCCCTATTGTGCTATACTAAAAAGCACGTAGCATTATAACACTTTGTTCAGATTGCACTACTGTATAGTAGCCATTATTACTCTTGTGTTTAGCAAACAATTTGCTTGTTATGATACTGATCCATAAAATATAAAATACAGTCCATAATACAGCAGAGCTTCCGTAAAGCTCACCAATTAACACAATAGGTCTTGTTGGCTTAAACTGTACAAAAACCAGTGGCAGGTTTTGTTACCTTCAGACAGAGCTAGGCCAGCTGTTTCTTTATGTCTTTATGTTCATCTACACTAAGCAAATCTAGGCTAACTGCTGCTGGTTGTCCAATGGTATCTATCAGTACACTTATATCTCAGCAAGAAAGCAAATAAGCCTAGTTCCCAAAATGTGTATTGCTTATATGATGCTGAAATTTAATCTTAAAGCAGTAGTTCAACATTTTGAAAGCATTAAATGAAAATACTGATATTCCTCTTGTGTCTGTGAGCTAAATATACTGTACAGTCCCTAACAGGTATCTTAGCTTAGCACAAATTCTGGGAAACAAGGGGGAAGCAGCAAGCCCAGGTCTATGAAAACACAGTAAAAATGCCTCTACCAGCCCCTCTAAATCTCATTAATTAACATATCCAGTTTGTTTAATCTGTACAAAAACATAAGTCATGCTTTTATGGGAGGTTTTTCAGGCTAGCTGTCTCCCCATTGCAGGTCTTGATGCTAAGCTAAGTGACTGCAGGCTTGCTTTGTATTTGCTATATAGCCACGGGAGTGGTTGGAGTCATGGAGTCAGTCTTGTCACCTAACTGTTGCCATGAAAACTGCAAAGCATATTTAGCAAAAAAGTGAATGAATTTCTTTAAGGTTACATGATACTGAAAATCCATTTTTAATATGCTAAAACTGGTAACACCTCAAGGGTTGAAAGAAGTTCAATTTTGGCTTCAATTAAAGCTGTGTTGTTGCATTGTATTTTCCCAGTAAAAAGCCAGTTTTCTGACTTTCCAGAATTTCAGCAAAACAGCACCTAAACAAGGCTGCACCTGGCTCCTATTTATTGTTTTGAGGGGAGAGGTTGTTATTTGGCAGTGAGACAACAAGGGAACCTGTCCTTATGAGGAATGGTGTCAGTTACAATTTAAAAAAGTCAAAATGTGTAAACTCTCACCCTAAATAAAAACATGACATAGTCCTATAAACCATCAGTCACTGAGAAACTTTTTGGAGTTGTTGTTATGGATCCCATTCTGTTCCACATAGCTTTTACTCCGGGGGAAGAAGTCAGCACGGAGCAGGCGGTAGAAATAAATCAGAATCATAATATTCATCATCATCATGGAGACGAGGAAGTATGCACCGTGGTCCAGCCAGTCGTAATTGGCGATGATGTAGTAGGAGAGGTAGAATTGGGTGCTCAGACGAAATATGATGTAGGTGAAAAGGTTGACACATTTGTTGATGCGGTATATGTTGGAGGACTGGGCACATGCCAGTTTCAGCATCAGCCTCAGGTGCAGGGTGAGACTGTTGACCTCCACCAAGAGAGCAATCACAGCGCCAGCTACATACCGCTGAGTGTAGAGGGCATACATGAAACACCAGATCACCTGAGAAGAACATGAACAAAGACAAGTGGAAATGTTACCATGATAATTACAATCACTTTATTTGGCCAAGTATGCTATACACACTGTCATTGTTTGCTTAATTTGACCTGTAAAGCACACTGTAATTTTGTTAAGAAAAGTGATACACAAATAAAGTTGACCATCAGTATTGTTAGAATGTGTCAGCTAACCAAAAAAAGAAAAATCCTTTCTCAGTTACCTCTATTTAACTAATGAACAATCATTATAATTTTGGATTCTATAGAAGTATATTATATAATTATTATTATTATTAGCAAATGTGTGTTGAGAAACTGATTGGCATCGTGACTTGCTCAACAGTCCATGGTCGCTGTTGTCTGATTCTCCCTTTTATGATACCCTATACGGCACAGTATTTAGTGCTGTCGCCAAAAATACGCATAAGATTTGTACATGTGCAAAAAAAACTGAATGTAAATTCCCTTATTTAGCTTCAAGAGCCAGAAAAATAAATGATGTTTCATTTCATCAACTCTTCATGTGGTTCTTGATTAGCTGCCTTGACTTAGTTCACTACTACTGTGCAGGGTTTTCTTTTCCATGATCTTACTGCAAAGCTGCAAGGCAGCTTTCAATGTGCACTAGTAGCTATACAGTTTACCACCAGATGGCAGAGGCACCTAGTCATATTAATCGTTTCATTTCTGGGCTGTAGTGCTTGTGGTTGCAATTTTACTGCGGCAAGGAAGACAACGTTGGAGTCTTGTGTGTTTGTTATAAGTACACTACCAGTCCAAAGTGTAGCGCGCATGTTTCAGTTTTGTTAGTTGCTGTCACAAGTAATGAGCACGAGGCAATGAGCCTGTGTGCCTGAGCTCAGGGCAAAAACTCCTGCTCTACACACAAAAGCATGATCTGTTTTTCCAGCTGTTGAAGTGTAACCCCACCTACTCATAATAAAAGTGCATTTACACTAAGATTTTTGAGTGCATTTGCAGATTCTTTTCTACATGTACAAATCTTATTTGCATCTAAGGATTTGTGCACACCGTTACAAATTTCAGTGCATTTTTACAGATTTGTGAACTTTTACCCATTCCACAAATCTTAGTATACTTGCATGGAATCAAATATATGACATAATGATGTGAATTATGTCAGCACCCCAATAATATATTTAGAAAATTTGTCACTACTCAATACTTAGTTTTGAAACGTAAACACAACAGAATTTTTTTTTGCATTGAAACAACTTGAATTTATATGGCCTGAAACTGATTTTGTAAAATTCTCAATAACCACTTCACAAGTTGTGACATTTAATAATTATAATTTATTTTATTTTATTTTTACTTTAATTTTCAGTATACATTATTTCAGGATTATCCAATTCAGATAGGAAAATATCATGCCTAAATATTCAAGAACTATATTCAAGTTGTTCTACTTCAACACGCTGAATTCAGGTCTAAAAATTCAAGCCAACTCACAAACTTGCATCTCAAATACACTTGTCCAAATTCTGATGATCAAATTGAAAACTAACTTTTTAAGCATTTGAAAATAGCTTTACATGTGCAAAAACTAATTTTGGGCGATTTAGGAACAGTGGAAACATATTGTAACTATAATAGTGGGCAATCACCACCTTGTTAGTTGTTCATGTATGCATCCAATAGATAAACAACATCATCATTCATTTTGTGTTCTGTGTCTGCTAAGTTTGAAATTCACTGTCTTTGGTTTCTAACAACTCCTGAGGGAAACATCCCGCTCTTAAGCTGCTAAATGCTGCTCTTCACCAGCTAGTCGAGGTGTGTCAGTCTGCTGTTTGCAGCTGTGCGGGAAGTGTGCATAGGAATTTAGAACCTCTCTCTGAAAACAGATGCCTGCTGTGACCACACACACAGTAAGGGCGCTATCTTCCTGAAATAGGTTGTAGTAGTAAACTTGTCTAAATTCCAGGCTCAAGGCACATATGGCCATGTTCAACAATGTTTGCAGTTTTGTAAGCAGCCAGGCACTACCAGGTACATTGTGGAGGAGAGGCAGAGTACATTATTAGAGAGAAGAATGGAAAGGAGCGGGGACTGGCTTTAGTTACTGAATGTCCAATCAAACCAGCTCCTCTTAAACCCTTCAAAGAGCAGGGTGGAAACCTGACTGACTGATTACACTGATGTCATAACATGGAAACATACAGTTGAGTGCGTCTGATCAAGCTGTATTAGAGCAAGAGTTGCATGGGTGTGTCCATATTTTTTAAAAATCTTTATCCTTGGTTGTTTTTTTGTTTTTTTATTGAAAAAAGTAACACATTAACAAAACAGTGGTGAACATGGGAGACAAGACAACAGATACATGACATTACAAAAAGATTTTTTTGGATTTCCAGTTTTGAAAGATTGTTTTCTTGGCAATAGCTAGAGAAATGAGGAGTGGGCTTTTGTATTTAATTGGTAGGTGGTCAACATCTGTGATATTACTAAGCAAAGTGATGGAGAAGGAGGGATTCTACAGCCCAAGATGGTGGAGAGTTTCTCTGTCACTGCTACGTGTCCAGAGGGAATAAACTGGTTGGCAGGTCCAAGTAGCATGAAAGTAACTGTCGGTGCAACCTAGATTGCATTGTGAGCAGATGTCTGTGTCAGTGAAACCCATTTTGAACATGTTACTTTGTGTAATATGGGTCCTATAGATGGTCTTGTATTGTATAAGTTGTAAGTTTACATTGCTGGTCATAGAAAAGATGTTATTGCAAGTTTCTGTCCAGAATTTGTAGCTGAGGGAGAGAGTTAAATTGTTTTCCCATTTGAGTTTTGGTATTGTTATTGTTGAGATATGAACTGGTTATTTTCAAATAGGTGATGTAAGTGAGTGATTCCTTTGTGTTGCCATGCTGGGAAATAGATAGAGTTATTATGCAGTTGGAAATCAGGGTTGTGCCAAATTGGAGTGTATCTACATGGTACAAGTGATGATTTAGTGATTTTGTTTGCTTTCCACCAGGCTGTCAGAGTTGAGAGGATTGTGATGTTCTTACAGTAATTCATTTTCTTAGTAGAGTTTGGTAGAAAAGGGAGGTCTGCAACTGAGTTATATGAGTGTGTCCATATTTATTTTGGTAAGTTGATGACGAGGAAAAATGGTTCAAGTGCCCATGCAAGTACCAAAAGGGTTGTACTTGATCTCCTCATTAACATTTGGCGGATTGCTAGCATACTGGCAGACTTGCCATGTCGAAGGAAATGGATCTGCTCGTGTGCAAGATGAAAGCGCACAACCATTATGTTATGGTTTGTGGTCTTGCATCATGTTCGGTGCTTTTATTTTGGGTAGTTTCTTGTCCTGTGTCACTTAACCTGCCCCAGCTTTACCCCGGTTCACAATCCCCATTCATTGTTTCCACCTGTTGCTCATTATCTTTGTTCCCTATAGGTACTGTATATTATATTAAAATTAAAACACATCATAACATGGTAAAAGCACCCATTAACTAGCAATGATGATATGACTGCTGACCACAGACCTGGTTTTTGTTGGTCAGTGGTGCAGTCACTTTGTGCGGCTTTCACAATGTATTTGAGAACATTTCATTAAGGGGGATGCAAACTTTTACACTCAACCGTATGAGAGGAAAGATTCTTTCCCTGTGTCTTCTCCTCCTGCCAGTTATCTACTCCACTGACAGTGACAAAAATATTTCTGTAGAAGTAGAAGTCTCTGGTCCTGTAACCAGCAGCAATTATATAGACTAGCACAGTGCACTGTCCCTGTTAAATAAATCAACACACGCACAAAAGATCGACAGCAGTGCTCATGCATTAAAACAATGTTCCACAAAGGAAAACCTAGTTTAAAATTATTTTAAATTTGGATGAAGAAATGTGAATTTTGTGAAAATGTGTCTTAAACACGTCACAGTGCATCTTGGCAATTTGACCTCTGGTGTTGCCATAGAAAGACAAAGTAACAAATGATTACACAATATATATGTTACTCAGATGATTAACAGGAAATGAAAGTACACTAGATATTAAAGGGATAAACACTGAACAAAACACATTCCCCGTAATTTAAATAAGATGACAAGTCTGCCATGTGATCTCTGGAGTTTCCCTTAGCTTTTGCTCAGTGGCACCACAAAATGCATTCAGCACATCGCAGGCGGCACAACCTTTGTTACTTCCTTGAAACTAATGCCTGTATCGGAATGTGTTTGTTTGGTGGATACTTGATTAGTAATTATACTGTACTCAGTAAAAATCAGCAACATCATATGAAACAAATTTCTGAGGCTTAAACGCAGGACAGTATGAGTGTTGGGCAGTATTTAATCCAACATGGCCAGATTTATAACATTTTGTTTTTATTTTCACTCTCGCTTCTTCTCCACTCTTTTACACACACATGTGAAACAGCTTATCTGTGCAGCACATTTAATTAGTCATTAACTTCCTTTTGTTGATCTGCTGACCTTAACATGGTGACTATGATATCTGGAACTGGAAATGCAACCTTTTAAAGCACAGCCACAGGCATGCTGTCTTACCAGTGCATGATGAAGTAAGAATTCCCACGATCCTCTTGCATGTCCTGTTACAATAATATCTCCTGCATCTTGCACAAAGTATCCTGAGAAGAAAGAAAAACAAGACTGACTCTGCCACTGGTCTAAGTCATGTAGGGTCAATCAGCTAAATAACAGTTTGGTCAAAATGTATTTGAGCTAGCATCAAGCAACCACTTCTAAAGTGCATATTCAGGAGATGCACTGGTAGAAAGGTTATCTGTAGATGCACAATATGTGGATAACATTCTTTTGGTTGGAGCACAGTATGCTGAAGGCCAGGTTTCAGGTTAGCTAAAATTGGCAATCTGAAAACATCACCTTGGGCTGTGGGGGGAGCAATTTTAGAGGGCATTTCAGTTTTTTACTCTGGTCAAGGTCACAGACTCTTAATTTGGTGGGTGAATTGGTGTGACAGCCATAGCCACGGGCATTATGTTTTAGGGCTGTCTGCTACTCCGTCAGCCCCATTCTCATTAACACAATATCTCACTGAGGGAATGTCTTCAAATTTGGCACAAACGTCCACTTGGACTCATGGATGAACTAATTCGATTTTGGTGGTCAGAGGTCAAAGTTCACTGTCACCTCACGCCCATCCCATACTTGTGAACTCCATATCTCAAGAATGCCCTGAGAGCGATCTGCCACAGCTCGTTGTAGTGATGGTGAGAAGAGCTATCCAACAATGGCTTTGATTAAACCCTCGTTCTCCTCTCCATCACTGCCTCCACACTGTCCTGTTCCAACCTCATCACCTAGCTACCCTTCCTTACACTAACAGCTTGATGAGACAGCTGACCACAAAGACCAGAGCATTGATGACTACAGACTGATAAAAGATCTGTAGGAGTCTGTTGCAAGCGGAGGAAAATGAATTGATGGATGGAGTCTGTTGCACACACTGAAGGATGGGAGTCTTCTCAGGAAGTACAGTGCTCTGCATGTCCCTCCTTAAAGAGGGATTCAATGTAGTGAGTCCAGCACATGTTTTTATTTAATTGGGGCCCCGAGGTAGGTGTCCACCCTCATCACTTCCTCTCCTGGATGACAACCAGTACATAAGCATCAGAGATGGGCATAGAGACCTCTGTCACATCATGTAGCAACAATCACCTGCAGCTCAATATCAGCAAAACCAATGAGCTTGTGGTGGACTACCAGAGGAACAGGAGGCCCCTGTCCTGGTTGTCATCCAGGAGAGGATGAGAGTGGAAGACTAAGGAAAGGGGGTAGAAAGTATACTGAGAACAGTCAAAATCCAGCCTGCCACAGCTGTTATAGGCGTGTTTAGCTGACTGTATGGACACTGATGTTGCAGATTTTCCAGATGAAAGTATGTCCGCCTCTGGAGTAAATTACTCAGAGGTTAGTCTTCAGAAGACTGAAGTACAAAGTATACTGAGATGAGATCAGTGGGAAAAAAGCCATCACAGCGGCCAAGAGGCAGTACAGAGAGAAGCTGAATGGCTTCTATTCTACTGCTGACCACGGATGGATGTGGCAAGGCCTGCAGCACATCACAGACTACAGGACCACCACCAGCACATTAGCTCCACAGACAGCCTGCCTGATGACCTCAACACCTTCTACACCCACTTTGAGACCTCCAGCCACAACACAGAGAGGAGGCACACACACACCTGACAAATAAACACTTTGACCTCTGACCTTGACCTGTATGACTGAGAATCTGCACGTTCAAATACAAGTGTTTGTTTTCTCAGTTACAGTTTTGTTTTCAATGCCAAGCTTTATTTTTTGGTGCCAAAGACTAAAGTCATCGATCTGGCGCCATAGTTCATCTGTTCTGAGAATCAGGTGAAAGGGGTGGATCTTCTTGTCTCTGATGAAATCAGCAACTGCAGTTTTACACCACCACAGAAGGTTCAGTTTGATTAATGTATGAAAGAGGCAACACTCTCCCACATTTATCTCATGCATTAAACTAAAGTTGTAACTATTAGTTAATTCATGACACACATTATAGATACCGGCTTTCATCAGAATTAATTTGACAGTTCTAGGTGAAAGGTTATCCAATCAGAAGCGTTGTGTTTTTACAACCTGTGTTTTTTGTAAGAGAGGTGAAGAAAAAACAGGGTAAAACACTCAGACACAAGTCTTACACTCAGTCAGTCAGGTTGTAGATACTTCACACTTTGACATGAATCCAGGTAGCCCTTGAAAAGAAAAAAGTAATGCAATTTTAATTTTTATGTTTTACGAAAACGTGTATGTTAACCAAGATCATTACATTCATATCAGAGGCAGCTTATCGCAGCATTAACGGTATGCGTCCCTAAGAGCAACACAGTAAGTATTCTGTTGCGTCTACAACCCTTTGTATATATATTAGATATAATCCTTCCCCTTTTTTGAAAAAATGTTTTTTTTATCCCAGGTAGACAGCTATTTGAGAGCGTATGAACAAGCTCTACATCAAGAACAATCACTCGAGAGACTAAACTGCGAGGCATCCGGTAAGTTTAAAGAATCATGTTTAAAATATATACACCTCATGCGGAAAATAAATACGTGTTCTCTATTCTCTAAAAAAGAAACCGGCATGGGTGATGATAGTTAGAAATTCACCCAGCATCTCTAAGAATTATGTCCACATTGGATGATTAGGCATTTCACAATTTTTACCTGATGCTAAAGTAGCATAGAAACACAAGATGCAATGGCCTGCTTAGTAAAACAAACAACAAAGTTCACAGATATGATATACAGTTTAGATTTACTGACTTACACTTTCAGAGAATTTCATTATCTCAGATGTCCACAGCAAATAGCAAAACAGCAAGTGCTGGTAGCACCATCAGTGTACTTACTGTGATGAAATGTAAACAAATATAGGCTAAATAAAAAGACTGATGCACACCACAGTGTAACTAACTGAATCCATGGCCATGTAATTCCTGTTTCTTGTACATGTTGAGTTTCTATTTGCTCATTAAAGTGAAGACTATTAATGCTTAGCCCAACATTATCCAAAAGAGTTGATAAATTCACAGCATAGCATAATTGATGTAAACCATCAGTGCAAAGATTTTGACTGACAGGTAATTAGCAAATAATAATTTGGTATTGGAGGAGGGTGGAATGTATCTGTAGCATAGCATAATTGATGTAAACCAACTAGACATCAGTGCAAGTCATTTGACTTGACTTCTAAGTTGCAAACTGTATTTTCATAAGTTGTGATCAAATAATAATGTTGGTAATTACATCAACTTAATTATGCATGTAATTTAAACTCAAATTTAAGTAGTCTTAACTGTAAGATTTGAGTCTTATAGACTCTAGTTACTTTACAAGCTTTAGTTACTTCTCATACCTTTAATTTCCTTTAGTTAATTTTCACAACTTTGTTTTCCTTGTTTATACATATTACAGCTGTATTGATGATTGTCCAGAACTACTGAGCTTTGGTCATTTTTAATACATTTATTTTCCTTGCTTATATATCTTACAGCTGTATTGATGAGAACCAAGTGATACTGAAGTAGAAACTGCCTGCTTTAACTTCTGTGTAGAGACAGTATGTCTGCATCTCCAGGAAATCAGAGAGCCTATTTACATTTTAACAGAGATCTGTTGGCTTGTTGTTGTTGTGTACATCTTACCATCATATTTTTTTCTTATGCTTGTGTGTGTGTGTGTGTGCATATGTATAAGGCTTAAAATAAAAGTAATAGCTCAATTGATTATCTGAATTCAGAAGTAATATTATCTGTTGCATACTAACTTATGCTATAATGTTTTGTTTTGTCTTGTTTTTGCTTTACAAGGACAATGACGAGTTTGAAGCCAGCCTTGAAAGGCAAGTGATGAAAATTGCTATCATTGGTGACCGGTCTACCCCCCTGCATTTGACCACTGGATGGCAACCATTGTGGGGAAGGAGCCCAAGGTGCTGTGCTTTGCTGATGGGCATAATATATGCTCTCAACCTGAGCTACGGAAAGGAACTTGAATACACTTTTGAAGTTGTTCCTTGACCTTGATGGACTGAAAGCCAGTGCAAAAAGTAATGAGTCTCAAGAACAATATTTTCTAAAGATTCCATCCGTTTCTGAACACTGCCACTTTTTGACATTGTTTTGTATTTGGAAGTC